TCAGTGCGTACTTGATATTAGCAGTTAATATTGAAAACTCAAATAATAAAATGGAATTAAAATTAATTAAAACATATTAATAGTTTTATTTATTAAAATTTGAAAAGATTTTGTTTATAAACTTATAAATTAAATATTTTAATTAATTTATGAATTAAATAAATTTACAAACCGAATAAAATTATTAATATACTGAGAATAATTCTTTTTTTCTACGAGGGAAATACAAAAGGTTACTGTAAAAATATTTTTGTTCATACTACGAAGACGCAATTAACGGTTTACTAGATTTTTCTATTTATCAGTTTTGATGTAATCAAATAATTATAAAAATATACTAATAACCTATTTTTTCGTTTATTGGGCATTTATTCGCTTCTTTTTATTTTATTGTATAACTGCAATAACTATAGAGCATTAACCTCAGCAAGAAAGGAAAACTCTTTTCAAATAATACACGTTCGTTATGTTATTATGAAATTGTCGCATTTGTCACGAAAGTTGCCGCAGGATAGGGAAAATGTTGTGCATCATGATGATAGTTAGTGGCAAAATAAGCAGTTGCAGATGTAATCTCCGTTTCTTCTTATTTCTGTTCCTCACCCAGACAAAAAAGGATAGATTTTTTTAAGTGAATAACCCATTAAGCAGAAAATTTGAATTATTTCTGGGGAATGCCGGGTTTTTTTTGGGGGGGGGGTTGTCTAAAGAGTTGAGGAAATGGAGGTTTCTCCACCAAAATGTTGCTTTCGCAGTTAAGGCAATGTTATCAACAGATTTGCCATTTTCCAATTAAGAAACCACATAATGCTCAACAGATACTTTAGTGGTATAAGAAATCACACAGGTTTTAGTAGAAGTACTGATTGAAAAAATACGAACATATTTTATTTTAAAGATAATATTTTAAGAAATGAGTATATATATGTGTGTGTGAATCTTTCCAATATTTTGAAATTCATATTTTCCGACTGTGAATATATATACTGTAAAATCCTTATTTTGTTCTAACCAAGTATTTTTATTTTAAGAAACTTTCCTTTCATATCTGATTTCAAACTCCTGCTAGAATGCAAATCTAAATGAGTTCAAACTCCTGCTAGAATGCAAATCTAAATGAGTTCAAATGACAAACTCCTGCTAGAATGCAAATCTAAATGAGTTCGGAAATAGTATTTAAGTAGCAGAAGTTAAGAGTTCGCAGTAGGAGAGTTAGTTCTGAATTTATATCACGTATTTGAAAATAGTTCCTTGTAGTTGAATAGTTGGTGCTAGCCAACCTTACTTTAGATTATAGTGATATTCTACGCTCGGCTTTGCTGTGTGCAGCCGATTAAGCGGTTTAGATTGAGTAGGAGTCACTCGTGTACTTAAAAAGTTAATTCATTGTGATTGTACATACTATTTTGTGTTCAAGTTACTTAGCTACAAGTGGTGGTTGATTTGTAAGCACCTAATGAGCACATGTTCTATTCTGTTTAGCCAAAACAAAAAGGTTGTTATAACCTTCGTCTGCAGATATCTTATTCTTTCAAGACATAGAGAGAATTCGCTACTTCGTCTTTCAGTAAGGTCTACAATTTATACTCCCAAAACAGACAAGGTGACTCTACAATACATATATTTTAATTCTTCGAATATTGCTTACTTGTAGAATTAGTCTGTTTGTCATATTAGCCGTAAATATTCCCTGTTTTATTTTCTTTGTTTTCGATAATGAATTTCAAGCCCACCATATTCTATGGAAATAATTCGTTATTCTCTTTTAAGCGAGAATCTTATTTTACTCGAATTTATGAATAAATTCAGTTCTGATATACATTCTATAAACTATTTTGCATTAGTTTTTGATGTTTGTTTAATAATTTCTATGTGTTCATTCGTCTTATGTTCATCTAAGAAATCTTCTAAGACCATATAAATATCTTGACAAATTAGACACTTCTCCGTCTTTGAATTTCATTGAAAATAGCTTTTCGTGAAGCCATCTGAAAGTGCTGTTTTATATGTAGAGGTGTGACTAAACTTAAGTCTTTCGTGCATCCACAGTATCACCTTCCGGCGATTCAGCAAAAGCTGCCAAATAATGCAGCGGACAGTCAATGCAGAAACAGAAAGCAGGCTACTGTGGCCAGTGTCCCTAGCGGTAGCTTTTGGTATCCTACGAAGGCAAGAGGTTACGGGGAAATTTTGTGAAAACTTTTTGTAGACCCAATAATGACGTAACTGTTTTGACATCGCCAATATCCATTACATTTTCAAATATTTTGAGTAAAAAAGACAGTTCCTTGTAGGCAACACACGTTTTATCAGATACTTTCTCTAAATTAGTTTCTGATATTATCTAGATTAATTAGTCGAAGACTACAGCAAAATGAGTTTGCCTTGTAGTCATATCAAGCCCATGCTTTCCCCACAAAAATGCACACAATTCTCTCATAAGCTGATACTAGTAACGAATTAATCATTTGGAACGCCATGTGAACAGAAAACCCCGATTCTGTAACGAATCGAACAAGCGAACGCGTGAAACTGGTTGCAGTATGGATTGCACGGGAATGAGAATGGAAGAATTAAAAATTAGAGATTAAATCAAATTTAAAATTGTATATATATTTTGATACTTTGCGGCGACAAGATTAAGCGAAATTAAATAATAAATAAAAAATATTAAATAGATATTAAATGAAGGTAGGTCAATCATTTTATTGTTTTATTTCACAACACAACTCAAACTGTGCGCAACAGTGAGCATTAAAGCTAACAGAGTAAATCATTAATTAATCAAAAACTTCCCTGTACAAAGTTGTTTGTAGTAAAAATATTGTTAAGCGTTAGTAAACACTGATCAACAGAGTGAGTCCATGCCGCAGGGTCTCTTTGCCTTTCCTATATAAGATAATTTAGAATATCTAATATATTTAGAAGAGGTAGATTCTTGTACTACTAAGCATGAAATTATGAGAAATATAAATTTGCGAAAATCGCTCAGTTTATTGCAAAAGCAATATAGAAGGTGATTCCCCATCCTTTTTTAAAATAAACTATTGGAAATTAACATTTACTACTATAAAACATATTTGCCTTACAAATGATTAATGACAATGAATCGTTACTTAGTCACATAACATACGAAGCATGTTTTAATGCCGATTAGCTATCTAGTTAACATTTTCATTTAATCACCACTGTTATGACGTTTAACTGGTATGTTAATGGTAGTATTTTTTCCAGTGGCGGACACTAGTTAAGTTTTTGTTGTTGTGACTTATCTCACTTGTCTGACAGTCACATCAGAACAAGCCCACGAAATACATCGTGGCAAAGAACGCAAGATACGCCTTCGTTGGCAACAGCTTTGAGCCCCTTACAGGCGACAGTGCGAATTTGCTCAGTTCCGCCCCCAATTTTGATGGAGAGCACCCTGGGGAAACGGATCCGAGGGTCTCCTACCTCTTTCTCCTTCCACCACTCCACACGAGAGGACTTTCGGATCGCCGTATATTTGGAGTGCCGCCATGCCGCACCACCTCTATACATTTACAAACATTCATGCCTTCTCCGGGATTCGAACCCGGGACCTTTGGCACGGCAGTCAACGACTCTAACCACTGTAACGGTTGGACGACACTAATTAAGTTAATGGTAGCATTTCTTTAAATATTTTTCAGTATTTAATAAACGAACACTTATGATACAAAATGGCTAACATTATACGTATACTGTGAAATTATTCTAAATATGCTAGCCACATATAAACAACCCAAACTTTGTTTTTCCTGTTAATATTTTTCCTTATTAGCACTATATTTAACTCGCTGTAGAGACATTAGGTATTTTTTGGAAGCAGGCAAGATGAAAAATATGCAGCGTCTTCGCCGGTAATCGAACCACGGACCTCTCAATTACGCACTGAGCTTACAGACCACCACACCACGAAGACATGCCAAGAAGGTGGGAGAAATACCTTATAGAGTGTCGGGACTGTTTTTATACGACACAAGCGTAACAAACCTTAATTTTCTTATCAAATATTTAATTTTCTTTTTATTAATAAAAATCTTAGACATAAGAACTCTTATGCACATTTACAAAAAGCAATGTAATAATCTTAACAAAAGAAATATCGACGTAATGGAAATGCCTTACAAAAATGATGCAATGCATTACTGTATTACGTTATGCAAGTTTTCTACAAAATGAAAAATGGTTACGCGTAAACTTTACTGCTCACTTACCAGATTCAACTTTCCATCAATGCAAGATTAATGTATGACTTTCGAAGGTGGCTCAATTTTTCCCAGAGATATGTTTGTGCGGGTGTATGAGTGTGCTGTGATGGGACTTCAATATAACTTCCTCCACCATCCCAAGTGCATGTCAGCAATCTTGTCTGATTTACCGAAATTGATTTATCCTTCAGAAAATGTTGATAGTAAAAGTACAGGACTTTAGAAAAGTACAGCTTAAAAAAAAAAAACTTCTCCGCTCAAACAATCGAAATAAAACTTCAGATATTGTTATTTGAAGGTATGCTCTTGAGATTGTGATGATTTAAAACTATAGAGCATCACAGTTAAGTTACAGTGAAACAATTTCGTAATTGTCGAAAGGCAGTATCTTCTTTTTTCCCGCACAATTGATCAGCGTACTGAAAAATCAGAAATGGCGTTGTAACGATACATATGTGACGAAGATTAACGACATAAAATATTTCCAAATAAGAGACCGTCATCGTTCCTCATCCAGTGTGATAAAGAAAGCAGTTTGGCTCTGCGTATATTATGGACGGATGAGGCCTCCTTAACTGAGAGCATAAACGCTAAAAACTGCCTTCAATGTGCTGACGAAAATCTTCAAGATGTGGCATCAGCGCCTTTGCACGAAGCTAAAGTGACTGTGAGGTGCGGCATTCCTTCTCAATCTTCTTCGGCCCCGCATATATGAAAATGTGCGCCATCGCAAGCACTTTCCTTCTCGACCTTCTTCGGCCCACAGGTATGAAAAGGTGCTCCATCACAAGTGCTCGATATACAACAATGTTGCAGAATTACGTAGCTCCAGAATTGCAACATCGAAATGTCGTTAATGACTTTGTATGGATGCAAGATGGTTCTCCTCCACACGTCACCACATCTGTTCGGCAAGCGCCGCAACAGCAGTTTGGAGATGGAGTCATGTCCTGTAACTTTGTAGTTTCATAGCCACCACGATCCCCGACCTCACTCCGATGGATTTCCGGTTATGAAGTTACCTGAAATATAAGATGCCCACAACATATCCACGATATTTGTCAGAATTGAAAGATGCAGTAAAACGTGAAATTATACAGAATCCTCCTGCGATGTTACGTTAGCTACTGTTGACAACAGCTCCCGCATGAGTGCATTATCGTCGGCGAACGTGGGCACGTTGAAAACTTGTAATTCGATAAAAGTTTTTTTGCTAGTATATGAATGAGAACTCAGAACCAAGATTGAGTCTTCGAGTACAGCAAAAAGCAGTTGCGTTGGCTTACCGCTAATTTTCTGCTGTCAAAGAAGAATTTAATAGGAATTACTAGTCACAGTACTTTACATTTTATATGCTGAAGAATTGTGGATTTACTTATACCACTTATTCCCTCTTGCATTCTTATTGAGTAGATCTTTACAAATATGTACTTATTCCTCTAATATTTCTAAATATGCTGATATCTGTGTATTAATATTGTTGATATACTATAATTTGTTTAAGTCTTTCTGAGGACGGACTCCAGGAAAGCAGAATAATTAGATTGTAAGGTGATTTGTAAGTTCTCTGTTATTTGACTTCTGTATGAGCAAAAGGTACTTTTCTGAACATCTCAATAGGAAAATAAAAGTTAAAGAAACATGTATTAAATATTCTAACCGTTTTTAGAAGATAATGGAAGTTTCTTTTATTAATTGGCGGAAGATTCGATTTAAAACTGAGATTTTTAACGATTGTTTCAATTTAGATAGAGTGACATATTTTTTAACATTGTTACTAACTGTGGAAGCTTCAATCAATTTTCAGTATGCTGTTTGATGTTGTCTTTAAGAGGACGGCAATTATGTATGGTCGTTTCGAGGTTTCTGATAAAGGCGCAAGATATTTTTCTCTCTTATTTCTCGATCCGATATTCATAAATTTACTTATAAAGTACTTATCTAACTGTTATATTATGCGCTCTGTTTCTACTATACACTTTTTTAACTTATTTTTGCTCTGGAGATTGACTCTAATACATTTTTAAAGAACTGTGGGATTGTTACTGTAATTTATCGCATCTGTTTCTTATCTGTGTGCATTACTAGAGAAATTTGTGAATCCAGAGATGTCTTTACTGATGTCTTTTTCAGTTTTTTATTGCCCTAATTTTAGTAAATTCTTATTTAAGATGTTGTAGAAAAAATTTCAGTCTGCAGCCTAGACAGATCTATAAAGAAATTTAAGATTCACTTACTGCAAAATACGAATAGTGAAGTAATTTTGGTTTAAAAGTTTCTTCGATAAGTTTCGAACCCTTTAATATTAAACACGTTGAATTTTTCTTTATTCTGTACATTAAAATTCTGCGTTCAGAGCCTGAAAGTTTCAGTAAATCCTTTAAGTCGTAATTTCAGTTCTGTTATTTACTGGTCGTAGATCACATCACGTATTTTAGTTTTCTTACGAAGTATATATATATATCCACTCTGTCAACTGGCTCAGTAATCTCAATTTCTTTACTCTTATATGTTTGTAAGTTGAGCATTTTTTGCTTTAAAAAAATGATTGAATTATGTTGTTCTTATCTTCCAGTTAAGGTTTTTATGCCTTTAGTAAATCTCTATGCAATATTTTTAGAATTATCAACAATTTTAAAGTTGTTTAAGTGCCGCTAAGCCTAATAATTTTTGAGATGGCGGACATGTTTGTTTACATTTTAAACTTGGCAAAATAGCGGATTTGCTGCCAATCTAGAGAAACTAAGCTTCGCAACAACAAAGATAACACCTTTCTTTTGTTACTTTCAATTAAATCACGCTTAATCCATTCTGGAATTTATTCGAGGAAATAAATGTTTAAGATTTACTTTAGTTTTAATATAGATATTTTTAGCTTTTATGTATTTTTGCTTTTTTTGTCGCAGTGAAAGTGTCGCAGTAAGTGAGAATTGAATTATTTGAATGAGAAATGCTAAATTGTCTGTGAAAAACTATTTCTTTTTCTTTTTTTTTTTTTTTTTTGTTTGCTTAATTTCTTTTCGTTTTAGATTTATTATAGTATTTGAATAGAACATGTGGCAACGGTTAGATATTTCTTCAAATGATACAAATTTTGTGCATTCTTATTTATAATATGAACGAAATGTAACGCTGTTAAGTGAACCTAGCGCCAGTGTCGCTGTGGTAAACAAATATAGTGAATTTTAAAGAGTGCATTTATTCTATTGTGGTCTCAACGAAGTAGATTTAATTCAATCTAATACGTTTAAATGAAATGCAAGAAAAATGCGTATAATTTAATATTCCGTGCAAGGAAGTCACGTGGTGATCACATCAGATTGTTTTGTCTTTAATCTTCATTCTTTAACTAATCTAAGAAAACAAAACCAAACCAGAAAAATCCAGCCTATTATATCTAGAAATATAGTGAATTTAGTGCAATTAAGTAATGATTTAGAAGTATAAAAATGCGTATGCATTAAATTTTTCAGTATTTTAATGTAATGTTTTGTGTAATAACTGTGCAGCTGTCATCAAAATAGCATTCATCGATGCCATCACGTACTGTGAGAAAGGAAAAGTGCAATAGATCACTTTCCATAAATACATACATAATAACAGAAAATATTCCAGACAGTTTTTTTGTCTCCGAAGTGCCCTCACGTTTGCGTTGCACGAATTATTCATATTTTCCGCTTTGTTGAAAGCATTCCGGTAGCAGACCGTTAAATTGGCTTGAAATGAATTCCCTGAAGCAAATATAGTTTGTTTCTAAATCAGGAAATTTCTTTTAAGTTATAACATTTAACTAACGGAAAATGTTTACTGGTAAACTTTTGGCCGATTATGCAAATGAAATGCATTGAAATATAATAAAATTCAAATCTCAGTAAAGGCAATAAGTGCAATAATTCTTATTTTGAAGTAGTGAAGTATCATTGAAGAGAATATCACCGCCGCATATCCGTAAATTCAAAATAAGTTGTTAAAAAGTGTTATCTATACTATTAAAATCTGTGCGCGTCTGTCTGTGTGTTTGTGTGTTTGTAACATCATCTCCTCGGGAACGGCTGGGTGCAGAACTTAGCGGAAGGTACCGTTGGATTCGGAATTCCCGTGGCTCGCCATATTGACCATCGGCATCTTCGTGCGACCTTAATTAGCCGAGATATTAATTAAAAACTGCTTTTTCCCCTACGTTTTGCACTTTCTTTCACGGGTTTCCCCTATTTTAGGGATTTGGCCTGAGTGCCAAATTCGTTTTTCTCGAATATCTGCGGAACGGCTCCGAGTTGGAATTCGAAACGCATATCCCCGTATTCGAAAAAAATCAACGAATCCATCGATACCGGTCCCATCTTCGTACGACAATAATCGGCGGAGTTATTAATTAAAAACTGCGAAAACGTTATTTCATTTTTCGGAGTGGCAACCGTCTCGGAATTAGCTGAGATAAAATTGCTTTTTCGAAAGCGCCGGGGGGATGACAATTGCTTCCGCTCGAGATTTGTGCTGGCGAAAGGTCACGTGTCAATTTCTTTTTTCTTAAATATCTATGGAACGGCGCTGAGTTGGAATTCGAGGCAGGTGTCTGCGGATTCCAAAAAATTCTACGAATCCAATGATACCATTCTCATCTTCGTAGGACGTTAATCAGCTGAGATATTAATTAAAAACTGTGAAAACGCTAATTTTCGGGCTCATTTTTCCGATTGCAACAGTTTCTTGAATCGCCGCAGATACAAATCAAGGTTATATTCTAAAGTTGAATAAAGCACGCGATTGCATGTTACCTAACTGTATTTTAAAAATATTTCGTTAATGTAGGCATTTTAAATAAACAGCTGCTTTTCACAATTTTTTTTTAATTTCAGGTTAGGATGATTGTCACGTTAATTCTTTTATTGATATTGAATAAAAGTTATTATATTACATTAAATTTAAATGATGACGTTCTTGAAGTTGTACAACTTTAATCAGCTGGGATATTAATTAAAAAATCTGAAAAAGCTATTTTTTAAAAATATGTTGTTATTTTTTTTAATAATAAATTTGATTTTTTGGAATAATATATTTTTTTATGTTATTAGATACGTGCACTTAATTTAGATATTATCTTTTAATGCAAATGATATTTTAAATAAGTTCGCACCAATAAAAATTAAATTCACACTTTTTTTTTTTTTTTTTAGATTAAAGATTTTTCTTTGCTCCTTTGAGATGGTATACGGTAACTTTCGAATCCCGGTGAGCAGGCAGGCTACACTCATGTTTTTTTGTGATTTTACGCATATCTGTTGTGTATGCAGTGTCTTCTGGATGCATAAATGAATAAAGCTGAACTCTGGTAGTTCGGTCCTAATTTCGAATCCCGGCGAACGGGCTGGGTCCATGGGGTGTTTGCGTGATTTTACGCATGTGCCTCGTGTACGCAGCATCTTCTGGATGCATAAGTGAATAAAGCGGCCGAAATTCGCTCAAAACCTCTGATTACTGGTAGTTCGGTCCAACTTTCGAATCCAAGCGACCGTGTTGGCTCAATGTGTGTTTTCGGGATTTTTCGCATGTGTAACGTGTATGCGGTATCTTCTGCATGCATACTTGAATAAAGCGGGAGCAGCCCGCGCAAAACTACAGAACACTGGTAGTTCGGTCCAACTTTCGAATTCCGGGGTACTGTACATAAAATTTGGTCGCATACGTGAATACAGCGCGCGGATACCGGGTAAAACCGCTGAACACTGGTAGTTCGCTCAAACTTTCGAATCTCGGCGAGCGGGCTGGCTGCATGGGTGTTTTCGTGATTGTTCGCATGTGTATCGTTTATAAAGTATCTCATGGATGCATACGTGAATAAAGCGGGCACAGAATACTGGTAATGCGGTTCTGGTAATGCGGTAATTTCGAATCCCGACGAACTGGCTGGCTCCATGGGTGTTTTCGTGATTTTTACGCATGTGTATAGTGTATGGAGTATCTTCTGGGTGTATATGTGAATAAAGCGGGCAGAGCCCGCGCAAAGCCACATAACACTGGTAATTCGGTCCAACTTTCGAATACCGGCGAACAGGCAGGCTCCATGTTTGTTTTCGTGATTTTACGCATGTGTATCGTTTATGCACCATCTTCAGCATGCATACGTGAATAAAGCGGGCACAGCACGCGCAAAATCGCTGAAAAATTGTATTTCGGTCCAACTTTCGAATCGGCAGCGGGCTGGCTGGAGGGGTGTTTTCGTGATTTTACGCATGTGTACGGTGTACGCAGTATCTTTTGCATGCACACGTGAACACTGTTTTGGGCGGGCTCCCGCCCAAAAGCGCTGAACACTGGTATTTCGGTCCAAATTTCGAATACCCGCGAAAGGGCTGGAAGCATGGGTGTTTTCGTGATTTTCCGCATATGTATAGTGTATGCGGTAACTTCTGGATGCATAGGTGAAAAAAGCGGGGGAAGCCCGCGGAATGCCGCTAAAAAATGGTAGTTCGGTTCAACTTTTCAATACCGGCCAAATTTAACATAGGATATCTTTTAAAAACGAACAATGATAAGCGGGCTTCAGCCCGCTCAGCTGGCGGGCTTGCCCGCTAGTCTATACTATTAAAATCTGTGTGCCTCTGTCTGTTTTGTGTGTTTGTAACATCATCCTCGGGAACGGCTGGGTGTGGGTGTAGAGCTTAGCGGAAGGTACCGTTGGATTCAGAATTCCCGTGGCTCGCCGGATTGACCATCGGCATCTTCGTGCGACTTTAATTAGCCGAGATATTAATTAAAAACTGATTTTCTCCCTACACGTTTCCCTACGTTTTGCACTTTCTTTCACCGGGTTTCCCCTATTTTAGGGATTTGGCCGAGTGCCAAATTCGTTTTTCTCGAATATCTGCGGAACGGCTCCGAGTTGCGAATTCGAAACGCATATCCCCGGTATTCGAAAAAAATCAACGAATCCATCGATACCGGTCCCATCTTCGTACGACAATAATCGGCGGAGTTATTAATTAAAAACTGCGAAAACAATAATTTCGGCACTCAGTCTTCCGAGTGGCAACAGTCTCGGCAGTCGTCGGAGATAAAAATGCTATGGGAACGCCAAGGCCGTTCGCCACTAACAAACTAAGAATAAAAAATTAAAATAACTTAAAGGAATAAACTGAAAAGCTAAAATAAAACTAAAAATAGAAACATTCTCTTCATTTAGTTGTCGTTAGTTGAATGTAGATTGGTTTATGCCCTTGATAAGTCGAGTAAATGACGTCATAAATAAAAATAAATAAAATAAAAAAATAAAATAAAAAGATAAAATAAAAAGTTTTGTTTCCCGGTCTGGCAACAGATCAAATAGAATCAAAAGTTTAGTTTCCTGGTTTGGCAACAAAAAATTTATTTACGAATTTTGGATTTGGAAGGAGACCGTCGCAATTTTTTCCAGCATTTCAAATTTCGTAAATATTCTTATTATTACTCATTGCACTTAATCTTTATTTCTTTTTACAGGATATTTGATTGTTTTTTGCATTTATATTTGTAGTTTTAGTAATTTAAAGTAGTATTTTAGACTTTTATATGCTCCTGTTAGTTTAGAACTTGAGAATTCTTCGGAACATTAACTTGGTGACTCTTTTTATATATTTAATGTATTATTTTGTATTTTTTTAAAGATCTATTCATTCGTGTTTTATATTTCTGTTATTGTTGCTCGATAAATTGCATTTACATTTTATATTTTTGACATTTTCCTGTGTGCGATAACAATTATCGTTTTAAGGCGATCGAATGTTCTATATTTTATTAGATTTGTTATTTTGTTAGGTTTGTTATTTGAATTTCAGAATTGATTTCAGAAGTTCCTAATTTATATTTGTATTTATACCTTTTATTTATTTTGTGTTTAGGTTTTCATTTTCTGTTTATGTGCATTGTTCTCAGATTGACCTAATTATTAGAAATATTTTCATAATTTTTATCTGTGCTTGGAATTTTTCATAATATTACCCATATTATTTCTTATTTGCCAGCAATTTTTTAACAGGGAAGTTTTTGTTTTACATTTTTGATTTTTTAAAATTAATTTGCTCTTAAGTGGAAAATTTTTCATTTAGTCTAGGATTATTTTAAAATTTGTGTTGTATACATATAGAATGCATTAATTTTTTTTCCAGCAGTATTGGTTTAATGAGCAATTTTTTTCTTTCATCTGCGTAGTCAATTTTTTGAGTCGAGTTAATATTTTAGTAGTGCTTTTTTTAACGTACTGAAATGCCGAAACGGAAAAGAGGCATTACAGGAGATGCATCAAGAAGACGAAGAGCTGAAGCACAGAGTTTACGGCGAGCTGCAGAAAATGAAGAAGAAACTGCTGCGAGACTGAGCACGCAAGCGCGTCGGCAAGCAAACCTACGCGCTCAAGAAACGGAAGAAGAAACCGCTACGAGACTCGGCAGGAAAGCTCAACATCAAGAAAATTTACGTGCTGCAGAAACGGAACAAGAAACCATTAGGAGACTCAGCAGGCAATCCCAATGTCAAGAAAATTTGCGTGCTCAAGAAAGTGAAGAAGAAACCAGTAGGAGGCACAGACTGGACTCTCATCGTCATCGTCAAGTTCGAGCGGAAGAGTCGGAAGAGGACGCTGCTACACGAAGAACGCGAGACGCTGCACGCCACAGACAAGTCCTATCCGAAGAAACAATGTCCGTACGAGAGAAGACAGGCTACGCATGAATGCAGCACAACGTTCACGCAGCACTCTTCACAATGCAGGAAGATGTGGACTCGAAGTTTATGTTGAGCAACACAGCGCCGGTTCAATGGAAGCTTCCTGCGATCTCTGCAACGGATTGTTCTTTACGGGAGAAAGGAATGCAAGAGGAAGATACATGCACTGCTGTAACAATGGGAAAATTGTCGAAGCTGAAAGAAGATATCCAGAAGAATGGCACAATTTAATGAATGGGAACCACCCGTTTTCTGAAGAGTTTTTTGCCAACATACGTACTTACAACTGCCTGCTCAGTTTTGCTTCATTGGGTGCCAATATAGAAATGCCTTCGGGTTCGGGTCCCTACTGCTTCAGGATTCACGGTGCCATATATCATCGAACGAGCCACCTTCATCCGCCTCATCCCGGTCAAGAACAGTATGCTCAGCTGTACATTTTAGATTCGGATCAAGCCCTCAGGCAGAGAATGAACATATTTGGAAATGTTGCCCTGAACGCCGAACTCCTGAGACAGTTGGACACAGTTTTAAGGAACGTTAATCCATATGCGGAAGCCTACAAGATGCTGAAGGAATTCGAAGAAGAAGAAACTGTACGAGAGCAAGGTGCCGAAACTGCTGCGGATATCCGCATGTACATCAAGGGTGAAAGTGTTGCTGCAGGCGAGCACAGGGGACGTTACAATGCTCCGAAAGAAAATGAAGTTGCAGTCGTCTTCAAGAGTACGGACGGCGCTCCTCCATCGAACCGAGACATCGTGATCCATCCGAGAGGTGGCGGTCTCATCAACATCAGTACCTTAAATCCCAACTTGGAACCCATGACGTACGTACTTTTCTTTCCTCACGGCGAGCAAGGATTCAGAGTCGGACAGCAATACACAGAGTTACAGTTTTACAGTCACAGGGTGTCCGTACGACGAGATTGCTACAACCCGATTTTGTATGGCCGGAAATTGTTTCAGCAGTATCTCGTGGATGCATACGTAAAAGTTGAAGGCAACAGGATTGCGTACCTCCGGAGCCATCAGACGAATCTGAGAGTGGAAACTTACATGGGTCTTGCCGATCACATTTACAGAGTTGGTCAAGAGACGGGCGTCCGCCCTGGAATACCGGTTATACTTCCGTCAACGTTTATAGGAAGCCCTCGCTGCATGCAGCAAAACTATCAGGACTCGATGGCCATTGTGCGCGACTTTGGTAAACCGGATCTGTTTTTGACTTTCACGTGCAACCCTAAATGGCCGGAAATAACAGAAAACTTATTCCCAGGACAGAAGGCTCACGATCGCCCGGACATCGTTTCGAGGGTATTTGACCTGAAGAAAACGGCTTTGATGCAAGATTTGACAAAGAATCACATCTTAGGTGCGACCATTGCAGATATACACGTCATCGAATTTCAGAAGAGAGGATTGCCTCATATGCACCTTTTGTTGTTTTTAGCGGAAGAAGACAAAATAAGAGATGCAGAGTGCATCGACTCGCTGGTGTGTGCTGAACTTCCAGATGCTACTCGACATCCGGAGCTACACAACATTGTGAAGTCATCGATGATTCACGGACCCTGCGGTGAACTGAATAGAAACTCTCCCTGCATGAGTGATGGTGTATGTTCGAAAGGATTTCCGAAACCGTTTCAGGCAGAAACTAAAGAGAACGTGAATGGCTACCCACTCTACAGAAGAAGGGACGATGGAAACTTTATCGTGATCAAGGGTCATGCCATCGATAACAGATGGGTCGTTCCTTACAATCCGTATTTATCGAAAAAGTACAACGCCCACATAAACGTTGAAGTATGCAGCTCCATAAAATCGGTGAAGTATTTGTTCAAATACGTGTACAAGGGTCATGATGCAGCTAAAGTTGTTCTGGAAGAATCTGGAGATAGAACTTTAATGTGGGACGAGATCAAATGCTTCTTAAATGCAAGATACGTGTCTGCCCCTGAAGCAGCGTGGAGGCTGTTTGAAAAAAGAATGCATTCTAAGTCGCACTCCATCATACGACTACCGGTTCATTTGGAAAACCTGCAGCCCGTCTATTTTGCCGAATCCGAAGAAAGGAATGCTTTCCAGAGAGCTGCCGAGAAAAATACCATGCTCACCGGATGGTTTGAACTGAACAGGACAGTTCCCGAAGCGAATGGTTACCTGTATGCCGAAATTCCTAAACATTTCACCTGGAGGAATCATGCCTGGCAGACACGAGTTAGACTTGGAGATTACATCATTTCAAGAATGTATTCTGTTAGCCCGAAAGATGTTGAGCGTTTCCATCTGAGGTTGCTGCTGTGTCACGTTAAAGGAGCGAAGAGTTTTGCCGACTTAAGAACTTACGAAGGTGTGGAGTATTCAACGTTCAAGGAAGCCTGCCGTGCAAGGCATCTGCTGCAAGACGACGAAGAATGGAAAAATACTCTGGCAGAAGCATCAGCTTTTCAAATGCCACCGCAGCTAAGACAGCTTTTTTGCTTCATCTGTGTTTTCTGCAACCCTGCGGAACCCGTCGCTTTGTGGAATGAATTCAAAGAGTCCCTTTCTGAAGATTTTGCGAGATCTTACTCCTTAGAAGACAGTTTCAGCCTTGCACTGAGAAGTATAGAAGACCAGTTAGAAGTGCACAATGTTTCGCTATGTTCTCTTGGTCTCCCGCAACCAACATTGACTGATGCTGTTTCTCTCGAAGTCCCGCAGTTCGATGTCCAGTATGAAAACGAACAAGCCGAAGTGTTGAACGGGATGTTGAATCCTGAACAGAAATTAGTTTACGACTTGGTTTTGGAAGCTGTACGAGATGAGAATCCTAACACACCGAAGACATTTTGTGTTAATGCGTTTGCCGGAGCTGGAAAAACTTTCCTTTTTAGGACGATCCTTCATGCTGTTCGAGGAATGGGCCACGTTGCCATTCCCGTTGCGTGGACAGGCATTGCTGCTGTGCTGTTGACCGGTGGAAGAACTGTACACTCTACTTTCAAGTTGCCCGTTCCACTTCTGGAAAATTCTTCGTGCCGTGTGTGAGACAAGATAGCGCTGAAGGAAGGTACTTGAAGACTGCGAAACTTTTCATATGGGATGAATGCACCATGACGCCTCATTACGCTTTGGAAGCTGTCGACAGATTGCTGAGAGACTTGACCGGACTGGATGTTCCTTTTGGCGGTAAAACCTTAGTTTTAGGAGGTGACTGGAGACAAACATTACCTGTTGTCGCACATGGAAACCGAACTTCTGCGATCGAGAGCTGCCTCAGGAACTCCTTTTTGTGGCCACATTTCAAACAATGCACGCTTTCCACCAATATGCGATTGAATCCGGAAGAACAAGAATTTTCAGAATGGCTTCTGCAGTTGGGAGACGGTCGTCTTAAAAATGACAGTGGCTTGGACGAAGACATTATCGAAATTCCATCTTTGTGTGTGGTCAACAGATCGATAGTAGAAGAAATGTTTGGCTGCGGTAATGAATTCGACTTACAAGACTTGGCCAGTAAAGCGATTTTATGTCCAAAGAACGAGGAAGCTCTGAAGCTTAATGAAGAAATTCTTTCCACGTTTCCAGGTCAAGTTTTCACGCACTACAGTGCAGACTCGGTTATTTGCGATGACGAAGAAGAACAAGAAACGTATCAGCTGGATTTCATCCACAGCCTGACGCCTTCTGGAATGCCACCTCATCGTCTGAATTTGAAAGTTGGAGTTATAGTTATGCTTCTACGAAATCTACATCCATCGGTTGGACTCTGCAACGGAACAAGGCTCATTGTGAAGAGAATTATGCCAAACGTTTTAGATTGTGAAGTCATCTCTGGACAGAATGCTGGATCGAGAGTTTTCATTCCACGTGTTGAACTTTCACCATCAGATTCAAACCTCCCCTTTCAGCTCAAGCGAAGACAGTTTCCCATCAGGCTTGCATTTTGTATGACTATTAATAAGTCACAGGGACAGACACTTAAGAAAGTTGGGATTTATTTACCGCAACCAGTTTTCAGTCATGGAATGCTTTACGTAGCTTTTTCAAGATGTTCGTCTATGAGGAATGTTCGTGTTTTAGTGAAAGACACCAAGAAGCAAGGCCGTTTGATGCCCGCATGTTCTAAAGTATTCACAAGAAATATTGTTTACAGGGAGGTTCTGCAGTAAAAAAGTTACTCGAGACATTGAAACAGTGAGATTTTTGCAACACAAAATGAAAGTTAATCAAGCCAAAGCAAAAATGAAAAAGATTTGAGGTTTTTGGATGACTGGGATAAATTGAAGCAAGTCAAGATGAAGCTGAAACAGTTTGAGAATTATGCATTAGTCGGCTTTTATGTCTGTTGTTACAAAGTGGAATTTGTAGTAGTTAGGCAATCGGAAGCTGTATTATTTTTTCAATGTTGTAAATATTTTTTATAAATTTTCCTTTTCAGGTCTACATACAATTGCGTTCATTAATTTTAAAACATTTTATGTATTTTTCTTTTTAGGTATGTATGGAAGTGATTTCAATCACATAAAAATATTTCTTTTTCAGGTGTATATAGAAATGATTTGATTCAAATTAAAATGTTTTTATACATTTCTTTTCAGATGTACATAGAACTTGTAAATACTTTTTTTCAGGTGTATATATAGAAATGATTTCATTCAAATTAAAATGTTTTTTCTTTTCAGGTGTACATAGAACATGTAAATTTTTGTAAATAATTTTTCTTATTCATTGCTTGCATTTTTGTAAACACATACAAATATATATATATCTTAATTGTGCGTGTGTGTGTATATATGTATATACAATTGCATCAATATATATATATATATATATATACATATTTATATATAGTGATGCAATTTTGTCTATGATTCTGTAACAGCAGACCAGGGAAGGGGCTGATACCTGGGAGAAAAAATAACCCCCTGGTCGATGAGATTGCAGAGGAGACCCCAGGTGTCAGGCAGTTTATGCCGTCAAAAGCCCACCAATTTTTTCTGTTTACATTTTTTTTTTCTGTTCAAGTTTTTGTGTTTAAATATAAACTTATAACTAAGAAATTATTATTATTATTATTATTTCTTTTCAGATAAATACGGATTGTAGCTCGCCCATCTGGCGTACTTACTCGGTAGATTTTAAAAATTATTTTCTGTTTTTCTTTGAACTATTGACGCAATAACTGATTTCATTCATATAAAATATTTTGTTTTGCATGATATTTAATATACTCAAGGGATAGGCCTGTAATGTCTTTCCCAAAGTTTGTGTCTTTTATAGACATAGGTACAGTAAAATATTTTACGGGTTCACACGACTGACATTTTATGAAACGTTTGGAAAAAGTTTCTGTGTGCTGCCCTACTGTGTTATCCAAAGAACAACAGTTGCAGTAGTTGATGATAATGTGTGTACAGCCCCAAATAATTGGAGACAAGGATATTTTGGAGTTTGTTCAAAGCTAAAAAAATATCATTGATGCAGATTCCGACAAAGAAAACGAAATGAATAATGCAGTTCTTGTGGATGATTTTGTTTCATTGATTTTTTATTAAATACATGCCTATATGCATATCTGTGCAAATAAAATGTACTCTAATAAACTTAATTTTGTTGAAAAATTTTTTTTTTTTTTTTTTTTTTTTTTCAATATCCTTTAACACGAAAAAATTCTTCAGTCCCTTCGGTTTCGTGTTAATAATAATGAAAGTGAGAAAAAACAATTTTAATCATAGATTTAAAATTATTTTTCTGTTTTTGATTTAAATACAAAATATTTCCACAAATTTCACACAGAAACTATTTTAGACACCAGCAAAGAATTGAGTGGGTGCAGCCCACCCATCTGCAATACTTACTCGGTAGATTTTAAAAATTATTTTCTGTTATTTATTTATTTTGAATGCGATAAAAAACAGGCGACTAACTAATTTGGTTTATATGTATGTACATATATATTTTCAAATGTATATACAGGGGATATTGGACACATACAACACTATTGACACAATATGAGCTATATCCACACAATGATGGAACAAGGTGTGCAGCAGATGCAAGACATGGGCATGATTCACATGATATTTGATATACTCGAGGGATAGGACTGTAATGAGCAAATGAGTTTGTTCCACAAAGTTGCGTCTTTTACAAACACCCAACATTCGAATCCCAGTGAATGGGGTGGCTGCATGGGTGTTTTTGTTATTTTCCCCATGCCACTTTCCTTTAAAAAGCCGACAAGAAGGCATCCCTCCCCTTAGGCAGATTGCACTCGAGTGCTTTGCCGTAGCTGAATACGCTACACCACTACATTACACACGGAAGTAAAAATGACACTTCCTGTGGTCGTTGCCTAATTATTCAAAATATTTTGATAATTGTTATCTGTTCTTAGAATTTCCATAGCATTGCACATATTATTATTTAACATTCTGTTATTTACCAGCAATTTTATAATCTGCAAGTTTTGGTTTTACAATTTTTGATTTTTTAAAATTAACACCTTCTTACACAATTTGCAAACGAGTTCCCTTTCATATTACATCTGAAGAACTGTTGTAGCATTATGCAACAAACATTTCGCTGTTCATTAAAATATAGGAACACTTTTCAATCAAATTTTGATTAGAATTTGATGTAGATTGAAAAGTTGTTTTCAACTCAGCTGCCTTTACACTCGCAGTTGTATTCACAATTGATTTTCACGCTGGACTTTTATCATTTGTCATATCCGCTAAATTTTAAGTGTCAGCAATTTTTTCTGCGGTAACAGCATCTACAAATGACCATCTGCCATGAATATTCTTCACACATGCACGAGTTTTATTTTAGAACCGCTGATGCTTTGGGTTTATGATACTACTTGCTAATAGTATGCATTATGATAGCATAAGTAAAAAAAAAAAATTTACCAGTATAATCAAAATAGAACAAATTCACGACTAAAATATTATCAAGAGTCTTAGAAGACCCTTCGAAGAACATTTTTAGAAGGTAAACAAAGATAACTGACGAAAACTGATCAGCTCGAAAACCCACGCTTGAAAAATGTAAACAAACGCCGCCGAAAGCAGTTACAGTTACGACTAAGATCAAAGGTTTGCTCGCAGTTAAAAGTATTACTTCCGAGCATGAAAAAATTGTAACATAATGCTTTTAAATGTTTTCTACTATTTTAAAGGCATTTAAATGCCAGTATATATTTACTGTTATGAAACATAATTACAAAAGAGATGTTAATGTTAAGTATAAAATATATAGACAGCAGTTGGAGTTTACCAAAAAGAATTTAAATAAAGGAATTTTTAACAACGAGTATACTGTTGGAATATCACACCCGAAAATTTTCGCGATTACACTTCGTACAAGCAGCTGAGCGGTAAAATCGCTGAACACTGGTAGTTCGGTCCAACTTTCTAATCCCGGCGAGTGGGCTGGCTGCATGTGTGTTTTCGTGGTTTTCCGCATGCAGTATCTTCTGCATGCATACGTTAACAAAGCGGGCGCAGCAAATGTAAAATCGCTGTACACTGGTAGTTAGGTCCAACTTTCGAATACCACGAAGGCATCCATCCCCTGAAGTAATGGGCTTCAGCCCGCTCAGCTGGCGGGCTTGCCCGCTAGTCTGTACTATTAAAATCTGTGCGCATCTGTCGTTTTGTTTGTTTGTAATATCATCTCCTCCAGAATGACGGGGAGTTGAGCTTCGACAGCCCTCGGTTTCCAAAAATTTGCGGGAAGCCATTCTCATCTTCTTACGACTTTAATCAGCCGAAGTATTAGTTAAAAGCTCTGAAAATGCTAATTTTCGCATTCTTTTTTTCTGAGTGGCAATAGTCACGATTGCTGGAGATAAAAAATGCTTTATTTCGAAAAGTGTTACCACTGCTTGCTTTCAAATCCTAGAGTTTACTAATCAATAGTTTGAAGTTTTACAAAATATGAAATAAAATTAGCATTGTCAAACATTAAACATGTTATTATCATATATGGTCATATTCCGACGTTGAAGAAAGCACGGGATTGCATGTGACGTCATTGTATGTCGAAAATGTTTACGTTAATGTTACGTTATGTTACGTTACATTTTAAATAAATAGCTGCTATTGGCAACTCTTTCGTTTCGGTTAGGATATCTAATGCGAAATGTTATAGCCACGTTACTTCTTTTACTGATACTGGAAAAAAGTTGTAATATTATATTAAATTTAAGGCATGACTCTTATGTATTAACCTGAAGTGTCACAAGTTTATGTTTCCTGATTCGGCAACAAGAAATTATTAGCCCAAACGAACGTTAGCTCAGAAGGGCTATTAATTTCATTTTGGCATTTTGCGTCGATTTGCCGTAAACGTCCGTATCACTTTCTAAGGTATTTCTCCCACCTTCTTAGGGTGCCTTCGTGGGGTAGTGGTTCTGCACGCTGGGCCGGTATTCCCCGTTCCGCGGTTCGATTCCCGGCGAAGGTGTTGTTAATTTTCATCTGTCTGGCTTTTCCGATTAACCTAATGTCTCTACAACTTTTCAAACTGTTGCGACCAAATGTTAGAGTCCTACATTATATTTGAAAAAATTATATAATGAAGAATCTGCATAAATGTATTGTTGCGTGCGTACGGGTTCGTTACGAAATGAATGCACAAGTCCGATGAAAAATGAACAAAATTTATTATTATCACAACAAATATGCTTAAATTTCTTCAAATTATCGTGCAGTATTATAAAATCTCACAGTAGTTATCTTTAACTACTCAAACGTTCAACAGAACTTAATTCGAAACAGCTAAAGAAAGCTAATCCGCGAATTCGCTACAGTCAACAAGAGCAGTTTTCTAAGCAACAACAAACTAAGTAACTACTACGAACTGAGAGGTTTTCCTCCTTTTATAAGATTTTAAAATCGCGCGCGAGAATTTTCTAGTACGTTCTCGAAATCAAAAAGAGATATTTATTAAATGTTACATGCACGCGCTCTTGTATTTTCAATTTTCCGGCTTAGCTTTCTTTTAATATTCGTCACGCGCTGCACTGCGCAGGAAATAAAACCATTTAATTATATAACAATAATATAATTATAAACCATAATAACATTAGCTTTTTAAATACCAAATTCGTAACAGTATGTATATTTCTCCCATTGTGATAAAACAACGTTACCTAGGGCTATCTAATTTTGAATGACGTAATCCTGCTGCGAATATGGGCATCTGGAAGCCCAAATTTGAAATTTGAAATTTGTTTTATTAGCGATTTCATATTTTGTAAAAATTTAACGAATTTTTTATTAAAAAACTCAAGGACTTCAAAGCGAGCAATGGCAATGTTGTACAGAAAAAAAAAATTTTTAACTCCAGCGCGTAAGACTGTGTATCGGAAATTCTAAAGATATGCTCAATTTAAAATTATTTTGCGATATTGTTCTTGAGCTGAATTTTATAGTTTAATTGCGAAGAACATGATATTTAATAAATAAAGGTAACCCACAAAACGTTAAAAAAAAACACCCCT